TAATGGGTTTGCCACCTTAGTTAATGGGGTCCCCCTTAGGCTGCCTAGTTGGTACCCCATTAGGCGCGTCACGGGGCGAACTGAGGGTCCATCGTAGGCTGCCCCAATAACCTAGCTAAAACTGTTGAAAACAATATATATTTCTGCGTTTGGGTTAAATATATGTGACCGTAATTTAATTCTTCCTTATCTGTACGGCCGATAAACTCCATAATCTGCATAGCACGCATGGTAAATCAGGCACATGCTCTTATGATAATTGTATCAAATTTAATGATGTACCTACACAAAAAATACAAAGGGTTAGGTAAACTTTCTTTCCTATTGGGGCACACTAGAGAGGACCACATCTACGCCCCGTGACGATGCCATTCTAGGACCACATGTGGTTAATTTGGCAGCCTAGAGTGGACCCCATCAGCACCCCACTAAGGTTTCTGATCGGGTGAATGATTAGAAGAGCAAGTGATCATATATATATATATATATATATACTTACTTACACGGTACACATTTACTTGCGCTACAGTTTTTTTTTTATTCTTATTGTTGTTGCGGAGCTTTCGCGTATACTCTTGACTTGGTGTATATGTCAACACGTGGAGATATACATACATCCATCGAATTCGCGCAACGGACGGACTCGTGTATTACATTTTATATGGGAAAACGCGGGGTTTTTCTGAAGTGTTTAGATTTTAGTTTGCACAAAAATCACTCAGACATATAAGTATAGGGATGAAAGTGTAGATTACTGCTGTAAAAGAGGAGATTCGTCTTTTGCCATCCGTTCAGTCCTGGTAAACGAATTCAAGCTATTGCATGAAGTGGTATAGTGAATCGGTAGATGATGGATGAAAAAAAGAAAAAAAAAAAAAAACGTCCAAGTCAAGAGGATGCGGGAAAGGTCCTTCCCTTCGCATGCACGCCTATTTTTATACATATATATACCTACATACACGTGTATAATAATCTTGACTCGTATGTACTCTACATGCAACTTTTAGGCGACGGCGCGGTATAATAGCACACCGAGCGAGTTTTATATTTTTTATTACTTCTTTCTTTCATCTTGCAGGTTTTTTTTTTTTTTTTCAACTTCCCGGTTACTTATAGCGTTTGTTTGCGCGGCGCACTTTCTGACTCGGTTCACATGGATATCGTTCTGGGGTTTTTTGTTTTTTTTTGTTTTTCTTGTTTTTTTTTTCATTTACTTATTGTTCGATCGCGGGGTGCGATAGTGCGGTCGTTCACTTTGGGAAACTGCGAACGTAATCAGAACTGCGGTCAGATTGATTTCATGGCAAAGTGGGTACGCGTACAACTGTAATACTTTCTTTTTTTTTGTTTTCTTTTTTTTTTTCTTTTTTTATTTGAAAAATGATTTTGTTTTATTTTGTTTAGTCGTGAAAAAAATGTCTGACTGCATTCGCAGTGCTCTGCGATCGCGCGTATTCATAGTATGTATAAACAGCGTAATACCAGCCAGCTGATAGGATTTATCGAAACAAGGAATATTGAGACGTGGACTGCAAGTATATATATATTATTATTCTTACTATGTATATGCGCGTATACTCATGTGTGTGTCTGCGAGAGGAATGAAGGTGGGGTACACAGGTGGGCGATGAGTCGAATGAAAAAAAAAAAAAAAAAAAACTGCGTGTAATAGTCACTTATTTACAATACTTCGTATTCAGTGTAATCATATACATATACATATACGGATAAATGTAAGGGCTCTCTCTCTCCTCGTATTTACAATTATATAATCATTTATATATGTATGCATACACATACATATACATTTATATGTATATTATAAACAAAATGGCTTAATGGTCGTCTAAACGCTAAACGTAAGTAGTAGAGTATTTTAAGTTACATAAATACATTGCATATTATTAAGTAATACGACTTTCCTCGATGGGCCGATGTTTGGTTCTCTACCGTTGAGAACGTATGGTATGAGCTTAACACGTTTTTTTTTTTTTTTTTTTTTTATTGATTAATTTAATTTTATTGCTGTCGAACAATTTCATACTGGCGAATAACTAGCCGTTTTTTTCCTTCTCTGGTTCTTTGTTTGTTTGTTTTTTTATTACGTACTTGCAAAAATTATCAAGTTTAAGTAACACGTTATTACGAGTGTGTGGCGCCCTCGTAGATCACGGCACTCCGCGTTTCGTCATTTTTTTTTTTTTTTTTCCTTCATTCGACAGTATAATAACGATTTGACCGACGTGCCGATCGCGCGAGAGTCAAATGAGCTTGGATGCGCTCGGAAAAGTACAAGTCGGTACATTATTGGCACAATAGGTACCGCCTAATATTGTTTGGCTACGGGAAAAAGAAAATGCAATAAAAACTAATTTTGTAAAATCATGACTGCGGTATGTGATAGCAACTAAGATGTAAATGATACTTGACCGCGCGCATCCGGTGACCGATTCTATAAGGATTTTTTATTTTATTTTATGTTTCATACGATTGTCACGTTTGCATTAATGACGAGAAGAAGAAGAAGAAGAAGAAAGAGACGACGTCACGAATTTATTAGTGCCATATTCAAGTGACGCCGCGTCGTTCCTTTTCGCGTTATGCGTATATATGTATACGTACGCGTACCCATGTAATGTATGCAACAGGGCCAATGAGTCTCGTAAAACGCGAAATTCGCTCGGTCCCCTTGCATCTATACGGTGGAGCGCCAAACGATACGTGTACGTGTACGAGCGCGCCACATGGACAGACGGTAAGTATATAGTGATGGTATCGGTATACGTATAGTCGTTGCAGTGACAGTAATAATATTGTCGCAGTATCTGTAGTAGTGGTCGTCAGTTGCAAGTAGTCGTGTACATATATCCAAACGATTTTCCACCAACATATTTTTTTTTGTAAAACTCGCTGCATGCATGTACATAATATATATATATATATATATATATATATATATATATATCAGCACACATATATGTATTTTTTTTCTTTTTTCTTTGTTCATACATACGATCCGATGATACCCGCGATAAGGTATAAAGCAAGAGTGCCTATAAGTGAGTGTCAATATGATAGATGTATGTATATATAAGTATATTATTAATAGTAATGATGATAATAATAATAATAATAATAATAATAATAATAATAATAGTAGGTGGTAGAGAGTGGCTCGCTCGCGGCCTCCCCCAAGTCTCTTCTCTTGTGAAAATTCATTCCTAACAAGTAGTAAGTACACCCTATGTATTATTACGTAGTCCGGCTTCTCGTCCGCTGCTGCTGCTGCTGATCACGTGTATAGTTATGATGATGCTCAGGAGGTCCGGGCCCAAGCGAGCGCCGCGCTGACCAATCCGAGCGCCAGCCCCCTACTGCTGCGGCTGATGGCCCGGCTCGCGCGGCTGAGGCTGCAGTCTTGATCGACGAGCCGCCGGGCGGCGGCTCAATACTTGCTGTTGGCCGCCACCGCCTCGGCCCGCAGCTGCAGCAGGTCTCTACTGCTGCTGACGGTCTTGGGCTCCATTGGGGGCGATGATGGCCGCCTCTCGTGCCCCTCCGCCGCCTCGTGCCGCAACCCGGTGTGCTTGTGGCGGTGGTGGTGGTGGCGGGGTATTATTTGCCGGTTGTCCTGGAGAATCGAGCTCTCCGAGGGTACGAGGGAGTTCATCGGCTGTTGCTGGCGGCGTTTGCCCGTCGCCCCCGACGCCGTCGCTTTTTTGCTGTGCACCGGTTGGTGGGGTCTGCTCGCGGGCCGTAGCGCCTCGACGATGCGCTTCATGCCGCCCTTCGACGCGACGATCTCGTTGTGGCGCTCGACGCCCGAGAACGGGTTGACCTTGATGAAGTTGAGGCACTCCTTGTGCTTGTTCCTCACCGAGATCGGGGCCCCGCTCTTGTTGAACCCTATGTACCGGCTCTTGTTGTGCACCGAGTGGTACCTCAGGTACCTCCCGCTGTACACCTCCGTGAACATGCAGTTGAACTTGTCCCTCTTTTTCTTGGGCTGCAATTTCAACCAACCGATACACGCAATCGTGGATTATTATTATTATCATTCATTCATTCATTCGCGGATCTACAAAATTATTACAACATGTACCCACCACTGCAACCAGTTTCCATCGTTTGGTGAAGCAAATGTATCGTTTGCTCTTTTCCGCGTAGATGTACATCCTCATCTGAAAGTCGTCCGTCAGGGTTGTCAGTTTTTCTGCAATCAAACGAAACGGAGCAATTGTTTTTTTTTAGTTTTTTTTTTTTTTATGGGAAAAAAAAACCCGAAATTTTTCCAAGCGCCCCATTGTACGGAAGATAATCGATCGCTACCACGTTTCGACCGTACACAAGGCGAGAGAGGAGGCATGTCCTTCCGAGAATCGGAGGAGCTCTTTGCAAGTCCGCGGATCGAGGTGTCGGTACACCGCAGTTCCGAGAACGAGCGGCGGCGATTTTTTTACCCTCCCCTTTCGGTGTATGTATCTACTACATGGGCTCTCGCGTGGCGCGCCCGTCAATATCGCCAAAGGTGTTAATCATCGGGAAAAGGGGGGGTAGGGACGCTCGCTGTTGACTCGGTCACTTAGAGCCGCGCCCGGAGCGTCTGTGGGCATAGTGCGGTCTTTTGTGAGGCGAGACGACCCACCGCATCTGGGCGAAAACTCGTTACGAAATAAAACGGTCGCACGGCTTTTTTTCCTAATTTTTCCACGAGACGCCGCGTGGCGCGCTTATTTTACGGGAAACGTGTGCTCTTCTGGTTCGCGAGTCACGGGATTTCCTCCTCTACACGTGTATACTGTACCGGGAAAGAGGAATTAAGATTATTAGATCGACATTCGAGGGAGATAAAAGAGCTCGGGCAGTTGCTCCTTTTTTTTTTTTTTTTTTTTATTTATTTATTATCTTGAAGTACATGACTCTCGTGTATGCATACTTTATTAGCGAGCTTTTCATTAACTTTAGCGGTAATCGCTTGTGCGCGTGTGTCGTAAAGCCTCCGTGAGAAGGAAAGGGGGAGACTTTTCGAGTTCCAGGACCGCCCGGTAAGGCGCCGCGTGAACCGATTCGATCACCCGACGAAAATCCGATTCACGGAACGCCAGCAGTAGAGAAGAAAACTTTGGGCTTACCAAACAGGGGAGCCAGGGGGGATAAATAATTGAAAATCAAAGGCCGAAAAATACATCGTTTTGGTGATGGGGAAAAGAGTAAGGAGAAGTAACAAGCGAGGAAATCAAAGGAGAAAAGTCAGCAGGGCGGCCCTTTCTCTCTCTCTCTCTTTGCCCCTGTGAGCTCGAGTGGTCCAGAGAGGGTTTCCTCTTGTACGATCCGACATAAAAATCAAGAATGTCCCCTGAAACCGGATTGCTCTCTGCGTGCATGGACGCACCGGTACAATGAGGTAAGAACAAACACTATATGTCGGCCAGACACAGTTTTTTAGGCAAAGGCTCAATCCAGCTCGATTCGTTTTCTCGTACGTTACTTGGATTAATATAGATATTTGGTGGCAAATGAATTACGAGGCGCACGGTACTTTTTTTCTCTTTTTTATTTTTCCTACCTGACGATTCTCTTTACGGGGAATCTCGACCGAGGGAGAGCCGAGCCTCAATAAATATCCGAACAAACGGGCGGTTCTTGATAGAGACTGTTATGTAAATATATTCACCGCAAGGACCGCCGGCGATTCATTTCTTTTTTTCCTCCTCCTCTTTTTTTTTTTTATATTCGAGATTTACCGATGTGGAGGATGGCTCTATGGGTTGTGAAATTAGAACTGTTAAACGAAAGTTTAAACAGAGGGAGAAAGCCGAGGAGCCACTTGTTTGTTTGCAAGTAGCCACGGAAATGGTACACAAAACTTGGCTTTGAATAACCGTGAGGTGTAATACATGAGGTTGAAATCGTGACGTAAAGCAGTACAGTGTAAAACGATCGGCACAAGCCAGAGTTGTAAGGATACGCATAAAAGCTATACGTTGGAAGGATGCATCGAATACACCACAATATGTGTACACATGTTGGTATACACGAGCGTGTGAGCGCCTATAACGGTACCTGAGAGTTGCTCCTATACACGTAAGCTCTGCCCGCTAATGGCAGCTCCCATTAATGACTAATTGAATTTATCGCCCGAGCGATGGGATTTACCGATTGCGATCGCTATACGCTGCAAAAATGAGTCGATTGACTTTTGCTCGGAGCCGCGATTATATTATTGATCCTCCCTGTAACGAGTGCAGTACGCACAACGATCGGCAAAATAAAACGTGACATCGACGATCGGCATGGAAATTCGGAACTCTGCTAAAATGGAATATTTCATCCTCTCCCACACTCGAGTGCAAGGCCGGGGGCAGGACCATTTATTCAGTTCACCGAGTGAAAGTTGTCGTTTGTTTGGAAAAAAATTTCAATAACCCGCATTGAAGCCGAAATTGAGCTATTAATTCAGCGCGGACGAGGACGTGTCTCGACGGGGGCCGCCACTTACTCTGTCATTGGAGAAACGGGGGTAAAAAAGAAAAAAAATTCGAGGGGCGGGCAAGTAGTAAGTAATCGAGCTCTCGAGTGCGGGAGGATCAAAGAGACCCTGCTTTTAATCGCTCTCTCGGCGGCACGCGGGATCGGTACACGCTCGCGATTTATCGCCGATTGATCGAAGCGGGACTCTGCACTTGTAGCGGGAATGATCAAGCGCGTACCTATCTCGTACGGGGCACTCGGATGAGCAATTAAAACGCACGTCCAAGCTATGTAAAAACAGCCCATCGTGCCCCGTGCAGCTCCCGATGTCAATCCCAAAAGGCACGTAGGACGTTTGATTGGCCACTTATACAAGTGAGCGCGCCCTCCGAGACAACGGAGGGCGATATTAATATATACTCGGGGGCCGCGGGAGCGGGCGTTGTTCCGTGAACGGCGATCATTACCCTTTCTCGCCACCGCCGCAAAGGATGTGTATGTATACCCTGCTTACGGGGCCGAAGGAAGAGAGAGAGAAAGACTGTACATTCGATTAGTCCCGAAAGGAGCGCGCTCCCGCAAAATCGATTCTCCGGCTCCGAAGAGGTAATATACGAGTGGACCCCTGCTCATCCCTCCTGCCACACAATATAACACGTATATATGTATAAGGTGGGCTCGCGCGCGCGCGCGCGTCTCGTAACGCGTATACCCATCACCAAAAGACGATGGGAAGAAAGGAAGGAGGAAGGGCGTCGCTCTGGCTTTAAGGGCCCAGCATCGGCAAGGTCTCGGTGTGTGTGTGTTGTTATTATCGTGGGTAATCGCGGCTAAAAGCCGGCACCCTGCTTTTGATTAAAATTGCCTTTTAATTCATTTGGCAGCCTCTAATCTGCGCTCCGCACCGAATATCACGTATATCCCCCTCCCCCCTCCTCGCTGGTTATGCGTTTGTCCGTCTATTGGGCTCCCGAGCTTTTTTTCCCCCCGCGTGCTCTTGTACCTGTTTATTTCTGCTACACTTTGGGCACTGCTCGATTTCTCTTTCCTGTTTATAGTATACCATACCTTGTATACCGCTCATCTGCCGGTACGAGGAGGATATATGTATATAAGAGGGCGAGGGCTCAGATGGGGCGGCGATAAGTGCGAGGGATTAATCGCTCTCTTTCCCCGACGCCCCTTTTGCGCGATGCCCGGGCGGGCGCCCAATTTGGGAAATGCCTCGATTACGCCCGAGAGGGCCCACATTATATACCGTGCGGAAAGTCGTTTCATCCTCCGAGACGCGCTTTTGGCGTGTACACGAGCCCCGACAGCTTTATCGCCCAAGTAAATTCTAAAAATTTCATCAACGGTCGGCCCCGGCAAACAATGGAAAGCGCTCGTGAATATAAATTTCGGCACCTCTCCTCTGTACGTTTACAGGGAGGTGGTATTTTTTTTTTACGAGCCGGTGGTCTAAGCATTTTTTGGGGCCAAAATTTATCTTTAGCACCGAAACGTCTTGAAAGGCTCCTTACGATAGCGAGATGTCGGTTTTTCACTTCGCGCCCGATAGATGCCCTCAAAGGGTAGGTATAAGTTGTTTGCCACTCGAATCGGAGGAGACGATAGTAAACTCGACACCCGGACTGGTTCGTACCGATTTTCCATTGCGCTCGAAGAGATAAAGAGGTCGCGGCGCGTTTAAAGACACACCATAACCATGCACGTCTTGCATTCGAAGTCTGGCGTCGGTTAGCCCGGAAACACAAATTTCGATAAAACGCCAATAGCCCGCTCTCGCTACAAAGTTACTATAGCGGTGCATATTTTCGTCCCCTGTACGAGGGTCTTTTTTACGATACGCCATGCAATCGGTGCCGATTATAGAAAAATAGATATACGAGCCACCACAGAGAGTAGAATCTCGTTTATACAACACCGACACGCGGGTGCAGTGCTTGAGTGACCCTATACCATTAGCACCCAAGCGAGCAGACTTTCCCTTTTCTCGGCCGCTTCTCCCGATCGGATGTCGGTACGTGTCCTTGGCAAAACGACATATCGAAAAATATCCGAGGAGAAGAGCAAGTTATTATACACGCACCTACTGCATGGCCGCGCGAGAAAAACTCATTATCCCGCCAAAGTGAAAATCCACCGCCTCCACGAGTAGTTATCCCCTCTCTTTTAGCTTCACGCTCGACCGAGTGATTACGCTCACGGGCGTGTTACCACGCGCGACGAGCTGATGATACACCCTCGAGGGGGCACGACGGGTGACGTCTGGTTTACCAGGTTGAGGAGAGCCGCGCTAATCACAGTCCACGCCGTGGCTGGGATAATTAAATTCAGCCCCAGAGGTGCCGACTTGAAAATTAAACCAGGAGGCGGTGCGAGGAGAGAAGCCTTTCCATCCCCTCCCTCTTCGGTGGGGGAAACTTGGACTCTTTTATACATGGAGCGCTTCAAAGCAGCGATTGTCGATACGCTAACCTCAGTCTCGGGATCGTTTATTATTCTTCAGCTGGTATCGGCTCGGGGACCAAGACGCCCAGGGTCCAGACTCGCGTAGCCAAAGTCATCCCAAGCGGCTCTCGAAGTGCCCAAGCACGTGAGCGACTCGAGAAATTCGCACACACGCACGGGGCGGCTAGGAAGCCGCGGAATCTCGCGACGGAGCTCGTAGAAGCCAGAGGGAGGGAGCGTTCCGAGGATTCTCTCAACGGGGGATCCGGCGTATTATGCCCGCGCGGCGCCTTATCGATCCCCGCGGGAGATGCAGATTCGTGGAATCGCGTGCATGGGAGAGCCAGCCCCGAATAATTCACGTCCCCGCGACCCCCTCGCTGGTTCACGCACTCCTCGTGACACGAGCGCTCGACGTTTGCCGGTTCACGGGCATACCGATATTATATATATATATATATATGCTTCTCCTTGTATCGGCTAATACGTTCCACGGCTGCGAATAGACGGCGTTATGGCCGCGAGAGCGAGTATTGCATTACGCGGCGATAAATAAGCAAATGAGCGCGTTAATGAACCCAGGGTTGTTTACGATCCCCCCCGCCCGTGGTTTCTTCCTGGACGTTTTACGCGACCGTAAATGCAAAGAGACTCAACTTCCGTGTTTTCCCGCGGTGTTTTCGCGAGGCCGTACCCGCGGAAAAAAAAAGTGAGTACGAGAGCCGCTTTGGCAGACATACGCGCGTGACAAACAACACGCGAACGCGGTACGTATGGGAGCCTATGCACACGACCCGCGAGTTCCAGTCTCCAGTGCTGCGACGGCGAGAGCTTTTTACGAGCGCATTTCTATGCTAATCGAAGGGCGTTGAAACGATCATACCCGCAGTACCTACTTTTTCTCCGGCCTGACTCTTTATGCTTGTGTTTTTTCCGCTGCGCGACTCCCCCCTATCTCTTAGACAATTTTTTTTTTCTTTCACATTGCCCTCTTGGCACTTGCCGATTTTTCGCGACGTACCGTGAATTTGTAAAAAGAGCTATTGGTCGAATGATCAACCTTCTACTGCTCCTTCTGTTCCCTCCCCTCCGATAGTACGGCACGCGCGTCTGGTGAATTGAATTTTCCGCTGAAAAGCAGCGAGTAGGTATGCCGTTTGTCATTTGGCTCGAAAAACAGGTACACCGTCCGCCAGTGCTTACTTTGTGTACCACACGCGTTACGGATTATGAGCGAGAGGGACTTCCTTCAGCATTCCGATAGACCGGGCGTTTTATGTTCCGCTGGACCGATGTCGACAATCACCGTATACAATACCAGATTTCTCGAGTGCCCGTATAGAGAGCGGGGGGATATTAGCCGATCGTGTTTATGTGCACAAGGTAGGTATGCAGCCGACGGTGCTCGTTATAACAGAGCGGGGCTAAGAGAGGCGCGAGAGCAGTCGGACGAGTCGTAAATTAAACGGGCGATGAGTGAACGCGGATGTCTCGGCGAGGAGACAACGCGACAACAGCCGCGCCACCGGCTTTTCCTTAATTGATTGCGCCCGTGCGCGGATGAGGAGCGAGAAGCAGAGAATACGGGGGGGGGGACCCCTTTCCGGGAATGAAGAAAAAAAAAAAACATCAAAGATATACCTGATTAGAATATTCATTAAGGTGGTCCGGGCCGGTGACGATAAAAACGTCCCAGCAGCTCGAGAACCTCTCGTCATCCGTGACTCCACCCATTATACATACAGCTCTCGGATATATAATTGAATGTCTATACAAGTATATATGTATACATGAGAGAGGGAATCCGCCGTGGATGGTGCGTTTTGTCTCTTTGCCCCTCGTCGGTCATATATACGTATTTGTATCTGTAGGTACGTTTGTGTCGAAAGACAAATATGCAGATCTTCCAGGAAGGAGAAGAAGATGCAACAAAACCAGCCTGTGATAATCAATGGGCAATATTTATGCAAATGCGCGCGTGTCGATTTATCAGGGCTATACACGACCCGTATCGGATAAACGCCCCCCCCCCCCCCCGCTTTGGCCCCCACGCGCGCTCTATTATATATTATGTAGTATATATACGAATGTGTTCTCGAGTCATTAATTTGGTGCCGCTCCATCGGTTCCGTCCCATCTATACGCGTACTTTTGCGCAATCTATCGCTCCAATTGGCTATTAATCGATTCCCGTGTCATTCGCAAGTATCTCGATCTGTCCGATGGTTTCTCCTTGGCTGTGTCGAATGTACGTGTGTGTTCGTGCGTCGAGAAACAATCAGCCATTTGCGAGCCGCAGATCCATATAAATAAGTCCGCGATTGTTATCGTCGATTTTGCGTTTTTTTTTGCACGCGTGTGTATTAATACGTGTACAAAAAAAAGTATAATTGATTATCTTCCGGCAACAGTATGATGTAAAATAAGTGAAAAAACAGAGTGCAGGTACTTACGGAATTCCTCGTTCTCGTCGTCTCGGCGTGCAGCTCTGACCGATCGTCCCATTACGGTAATATTGCCTCTGCTGCAAACCGAGTATAGACTCACGGAGCGCACCGTCGATGGCACTGCCCCGCACATCACCACCTGCTTGGCCCACAATTTTCCAAATCAAAATCGGCGTTACACATACAAAACACACATACATTTACCAAATCATGAAATTTTTATTCGCACCTTCCACGGTGTACTTACATTCGGACAAGACGATTTTATCGTTTGGATTCGCAGTTTAGCGGTCGAGGATAACCATAAACCAACAAAAACACATCGAGAGTACAAACGTATGGTGATGGGTGTATATAATAATATTAGTGTACCTGAAAGCAGCGACGACAACAGCCCCGTTAAACGTCCCTCATGAACCGCCCGATAAAACAATAATCCCCCGTACAGCCCGTATCGCACGAACGACGCGTATAAATATTTCCCAACTGCGTGCTGTTACCACCTATACTCTTATACCTTACGGGAAAATCCTTGCAAATTCGTTAGAGCCCTCTATGTTTGCTCCCCGTTATACGCGTTCCACTGCCCTCGTCGGATCGATGACGCAAGCGGAGTAAGTGTATATACCTATGATAAAGCCAACATCTCTCCCTTAACCCGAGAACTTTTCGGCTGCGGAGGAAGAGGGTTCGACGACCCGCGCGGACGACGTCGTTTCACAAAAGGGTAGTTGCGGAGACATTCCTCCCTTTATGGTCGATTCGCGCGACTGCTACGCGCCGCGTGTGTACACACTTATTTGTAACAAAGCGTGTACAAATACACCCATTTGCCCGCAAGTGTATACGTTTGTCTCTGTGTGTGTGTGTGTGTACATACTCGTAAATCCGTCGGGCACAATAAAAGGCGCTGCGGGGCGCGAGAGCGTCCTATAAATCCGCGATTTTCCGGGCGAATCTTGCACCTTGCTTTATCGACTCTTTGTCCCGTGGCTATACGCACGTATGTGTGTGTATTATAATGCATACACCCACGCCTATACCGGCCGTGGGGAGAAATTTATTTGCTACTACCGCCGTATGGAGAAAATTATGTAATTAGTATACGGCGAGTAACCTGTTGGTGACTTTTTTTTTCCTTTATTTCGAAATACAAACAAAAAACCTCTTTTAATCAGGCACGCGGAAGTATGCGTGGAGAAAAAGTGTGTACTATACGCTAATCTCGTCTCGTTTCCCTAGTACGCGTGTGTCGCGCGGTAAATCAAAAGTCGCGGCGAACAATCGGCTTCTCGCGTATTAGGGCCCATTGAAATTCGGTGAGGGGGGCAAGAGACGAGTCAATTTCGGAAACTGCTCGTGTCGTATATCACAAAACACGGGGAAAAAAAGCGCTGTGGCTGTAATATAATATATACACGTTATGCGTATACCTTTGTATATGCCATAAAACACGTGGCGAGAAAAATCCACAAGAGAAGTCAATTTATGTCAATAGCGGATATCGCGGCGCATGTGTATATACATTATACGCCGGTGTACTAGTTGAGACATAATAACCGAATAATTTATTCGCGGTCGTAGACTCGGAGGCGCTTCCCGCGGGCCCTCCTTTCTTCGCCCGCCGGTAATATAACGGCTCGTAATTATAAACTAAGATTCAACCCGAAGACGCCGATTATTTATAGAGCCCGATGGCTTCGCTCTTGCGGGTCCATATGCATAAATATATGTATATATACACATTTTTTTACAATATCACACACACGTACGTGCAGCGATGTTCATTAATTGCCGGCGTTACGACGAAATTTGTTTTTCAAATGTAGGGCCCCCGTCACTGTATATTATAATATATACACGTTACGTACGCGCTCCGATTTCTCCCCGCGGGCCTTTCCCCGGCGAAATATCCAACATACTATATACTTACTCTCACGAAGATATCCCGATGATATGTAGCGCCAGTGCCCTCGGCGTGCATAAGTATACACGACATGCTAATGCTCGCGCCAAGTGATCCGTGGGGCTTGTTAAACGGGGCTGTTGGCTCTTTCGCACGATTGTAACATCATATTATATTCGTGTACTCCGTAAAAGTGTCGCAAAGTATGTATTTACCCTCTCTCGTGAGAGTGAATGGAAAAATTTTTATACGTTAACACACGCACCGCGTGGCTAATGAAAATCGTCCGATATCCATCAAACCGGGCGATCGTGAGTTATATTTTCAATTACCGCGGCATAAGTCACGCAAAGGTATACGTAATCGAGTCCGCGCGGATCAATGATATTTTTCACGGATAAATGGACAGTGGCGAGCGAAAAGGGGGGAGAAGGGGAGATAAGCACGGCGCGGGCCGACAAAAGACGATTTATGTGATTGAAAAAAAATGTGCTCCCCCCCCCTCGTCCCTTACGGGCGTATCGAATTTATCTGAACAGGTTCGACACTTGCGCGTATACGCATTGATTAAATCATCTCGTCGCTCACGCGAGCTCCTCCGTGTAATTTCGCGGGCATCCGATGGACTTACCGATCGGCGGCCGATACCGCGGCATCGAGGGTTGTTGTGTGTACTCACGCGCGAGGCTTCCGAAAGTTTGTGGATTTTGCTGTTTCACGCGGCCGATGAAACTGAAAATGTGCACTCGAACGACGATTGAAAAGTCAAGGTATAGCGTGAGAAACGAGGAAGGGGCCAAAGGATTAGGTTCGTGATTATTCAAATGAGACAGACGCGCTCTCACGGCAGCCTTTTTTCGGGGTGAAGTGCACAAGCAAACATAGCGCCGATATAATAAATATATATATATAGTATGCATATATCCGTGCAGCCGAGGTGGCGAGCGTGCCGGGGTGCCATAAATTTCGGAGACATTTTTGCGTTGGCGCTCTCTCTTGCGAGGGTCAGTTGATACCTCCCTTTGCTCCGCCCTGCCCCGATTTCTTCCACCTTCGCTCGATTATCGCTGAATAATGGATCCAAACGATTAAATTCGTATCAGGGCCCAAAAAAAAAAGAGGGGGGGGGGTTCCGCTTCGCGATTTATCATACTTTGCGGGTAGTATTACGTCGTTATGCGCGCGCTCGGCTGTGGTGCACGTGAATAGTTGGGTAAGTATGGGTTGTTGCGAGCTTGTAATGTTACGGTGTGCTGTGGTGTATGTTGTTCGCTTCTAAAATCCCAACCAGACCCTCTCGATTTATCTCCGGGATGTTAATTACGGATTTGGTTTTCAATCGCGCGTTTTTCGGAGCCCCCCCCCCCCTTTCCCCAAAGTGATCACTTGATTCGACTTAATTGAAAAAGCTAAATGATTTATTCGTTTACTCTTAAATGCAGTACAGGACGTGGACTTTGGTTGTAATTTACAGGCACACGATGCTTTCGAATCAAAAGTGTTCAAATTACAAAAAAAAAAAAAAAAAAAAAAAAAAAAACCATAAATATACTTAGGCCCGTACAGATTATACGTACACGCACACGCGTCCAGCGAGTGACGATTACAATGTGTCAATGGTAATCGATCGCGACGTGAGGACTGTACGCGTATATTATAGATGAGCACGCGACACAGCGCCAAGGTCGGCCAATCCTCCAGCTCCTTTGCGCAGATTCCTCTGACCTATTCGCTCCGAGCCGATGCAGAGGTTGCGCCCCCTCTAGCCAAAATCAGGCAACATTTCTTGCATGTAAACAAACGGTTTAGAACATATATACATACGTACAGCTGCTTGTGATTGGCACTTGACAAGCTAGAGAGAGAACGACGATCCTCTCCTGCTGTCTTATTCAGCCAATCACAAGCAGCTATACGCATGTATATATGTTCTAAACCGTTTGTTTACATGCAAGAAATGTTGCCTGATTTTGGCTAGAGGGGGCGCAACCTCTGTATCGGCTCGGAGCGAATAGACACCTTACAACGAATAGTGAGCCCGCAAATGCACTCTCGCGAGAGAAGATACCGCAAAACGCCCACCGCGTCACTACCGATACCCAAGTAAAACATGCATTATATATATATTATATGCCATTCGAGTGTATTATTGAGCAAGCGCTGGATGCTTGTATTCGTCCTCGATGCATTACAAGATTGTGCAGCCAAACATCGATTAAACCGATGGTTCGCGCTTTGCTGCGAGGGTGTACGACTTGCGGTCGTGTTCTCGCGTGATTAGTTATATGACGATCGTGTCCAAGAACAACTTTTCCATCTGTACTCCGAAATATCAATCTTAAGACTCCATACGCTTGAGAAATAAAAAAATGTGGAGGTGCGAAAAAAAATTGCCACGCGTAATCGGGTAAACGTGAGCCGTGTGTGAACTTACCATCAGGAGGCACAAAATCTTCGCTAAGACGGCAAGCTGTGATAACCTGTAACAGAAAAAGCAACGGAGATGGGAATCATTGGGCTGATCAGCCATTATTATGTTAAAAAATAAAATACGTTTTTTCGTGAATGATCAAACAGCTCCAATATTCTCGATCGCATTGGATCGCGATAGCCGGGAAATACGGCAGGCGCGCGCAATAAGCTAAATTTGTTTATCACCCATCCGTACAATAAAATTAATTTACATACCTCGCGGGGCATTAAAGTATATAATCGGCGAGGCGTTCATTAGAAGGGGGGGGGGGGGGGGCGTTTGCCGATCGAGGACTCACGCGAGGCTAGAAACTCAAGATTACATTATATTGCACGGGTGTACGGTTACAGGCGGCGCACCGCGGTCGCGTGTATTATTGTTGTTGCGCAACGAGCAGCGGTGGCGACGGCTTGTGTTACCGGGTGTGTATATATTATAATGGGCTGATTCACCGGGCCTCGTACCTACATTATATACACGGGTATCCAACAAACATGTGCTTGTCAATTTTTCGCGCGCCTAACTCTTAATGCTCTGGAAAGCGAGATTACGATCTCTCTGTGGCCAGTGTGCCGTGCTCAACTATACTTCATTTTTCGTAACGCATATGGAATAAATACGGTTTCTCTTTGTTGATGAATGTTACGCGGCGAGTAAATCGAAATTTAATATTTTGCTTATCGGAGTCTCAACGTTTTACGACTCGCTTACAACGATACACACGCTGCTGTATATGTTATTCCACGTGAATCTTGGGAGTCTCTGATTGGTGTTTACAGGCGTAATATCATTAATCGTTAAAAAGGAATTTCTGCAACCGATAAGCATTTTATTTGTTCACAGTAATGTGTACCTGATGATAGTCGTAAGATAAAAAAAAAGAGCATCCCATCAGTTGCCAAAGGCGCTCGAAATCGGAAGCTCATCGATCGGCCGAGAATCAATTAATGGCTAAAAGGAAATTCAAGAAGCTCCAAGAGTGGACGCGGGAGCCGAGGCATGGACAGTAAAATCGGCAAATCCGTCGGATATCCTTGCTCTCGGTATAAATCATCGTCTTGCACACACGTACGACATACAAGTCGGAAGGGTATCCCGCAGGCAGCAGATACAGGTATAGGACGCACTGCGTGTATACATATATAGGCAGCCGCTCACTCGGCGCCGCCACCACGCGAACCTTATATCTATATATACCTTGAAATGCATCCTGGAAAACTCTTCTCGGGCGCACTCTATCATATATGAGTATACTCCGCGCGCGAGGATATAGGGAACGGGAGTAGTATAGGCGTAATGCATCAAAATCGTTATATGTGTGCTCGCTCCGATGCTGAGAAGCTGAAACTGTCTCTCTCTGTCGGGCTTAATTGCGCCCAAGTGTCTACTACTACTGAATGCGCCTCGTGCATTGATTATTGGTGTATCGACATTGTTTTGCTCGTCGGAAATCCGAGAATATACAGCAATCATCAAGCAGTATATAATGAGATACGATCAGCGGCGATCGGTATTGATTTTGTTTGAAATGGAATAGATGATTGCAAGTGATGAGTCTCAACGAAACGTAGTTTCTCAACAGAGATGTGGTGTACCTATGATTTTTTTTTTTCAATTTGTGCTGTCACATGCATTAGTATGTAAATTCATTAGTGCCAAATATTGTTGATGTGAATTGCTTAAATAATTTGTCTAAATATACGAGGCTTTTCGAGACGAGAATCAAGTGTCGTAACTGTGTGCAGCGCGAAATGTTTGATTAAACATTACACTAATATCTACGTGCATTTGAAAAATAAATCCGGTATTTCCGGTATTTTTGCACACGCATGGGAGAAACAAACAGCATTCGCCACATGTCTACTTATGTGGCTACTGTCACGGAAGAAAAAAAGAAAAAAAAAGGCAAGTGTAAATAATTCAAGGTCGAATATTTTAGATTAGGCGCTATATTTATACGCGTTCGGGAACAAAAATATACTCTCAAGTGTGTGTACTTAATTTGTTTTTGCGGAATGTTGATGCATGCGATTTGCAAATTTTTGATACTCTCTGATGTAGGAATTTTGAGTGCCTGTCAAATCAAAGCATTCCTAAGAATCATTGAATACCGATGCGTGCGAGTAGACGAAAAATGCGAAGAATGAGCCTATTGCGCCAAAAAAACCCAGGAATGCGAAGATGTTTTTTTTTTTTTTTCAAAGGAAACAAACATTTAGTCATTTGCATCTTGTTACATAATGTCACCCAAATGATTTTTGCAGGAGCTTTGCATGCCACATACGACGAGCTACATACGTAAGTATACGTGGGAATAACCCAATGGAAGCACTCACGGCCTTTCGCTAGTCCCATCCCGGACTTGGGACTCATGGCCCCATCTTAGCACCTGCAGCGAACGCCGGCAACATCTAATCGTCAGCGCGATACAAAATTTAATGATCTCCTCAAGTACACGAGAGTTTTCGACTTTCCACGAACTGACAAAAGTACTTTGGTATAGGTCAATAAGCGCTTTGGCTCGAGAGAGAATGGGAAGTCGCTGCATAACTGCGTTTTATCGCACAACCTCGTCGAGGTGAATAATATAAACGCTCTCCTCGCATCTATTCGCAGTTTGTCCATACAACATGAGTCGGAGCTCTCTCTCTCTCTCAGAGTTTCGCAAAGATCATTTCGTACACCCCCACACTCAGTATTCCAATTTTTGACATGCACGGGTTGTGTAAACATAGTCACTATATAGTATAGGTACTATTTCAATGTACGATTCCTTCGATCAAAGCAATCATCACCATGTGTGCGCGTACTTGTTCATCCGTACAATAAAGTGCTCAAGTATTGTACGTAATGAATGGAAGGGGAGGTAAAAAAAACTTTGGACGCACCGAGAAATATTGATAATTCGACGCGTATGTGTTTGCGCTCGCGTGGACCAAAGTTTCTCTGCGCGTCGTCTCGAGTGGAGGAGCACTCGAGGGGCCCCACGAGGTCGCGATCGCTCGGAGCGTGTATCCACTCGGCGACAAAACCAGGGCCGTCCGGCTTCCTTGAAATCAAACTCTCGGGGAGAGGAGGCGGTGATCGTGGTGCGACGCAACCAACTCGGAAATTTATCGCTTTGTCTCGGAGCATTTTTGCCCACCAATTTTCTCCCATGGGTTTCCGGAAAATATGCCCACACACCGGCGCTCAAGCGAAACATTATAATATACACGAGCACAATACTCCGGCCCCCACACAATATAATATAATATACCGTCACTCGGGGGGTACAGGTATATACATATATACGTATCACTTTCCACTCTATGGACTCTCCGTATGGCGGTGCTCGTGTATTTTCGTGGCCGAGAGCAAATATCACGAGAGCATATCCGGCTCATCGTTTCTAAAGGCGCAAAACTGCTTTCGCTCGGGGTCTCGGGGAGCCTTTCACGCGCGACACAATAATATTAAAAATATTTCGTACGCCTTTTCAATAAGCCCGGTTTTCCGAAAACACGAGCCACCTCGCACATACACGAACAATGCAACACGCACGGGAGCCTCAATTTGTCGAACGCGACCTACGTATATATATACACACACAAAAAGAGATTTACACGCGGGGGCATTGTCGCGGTCAACATGTATGTTATTATTTGGGAAAAAATTTTCACCCAAGGGTTGTTTGGCGGTGCTTTCTTTTCCCCTACCTTTTATTTCGGCCTCCTTTCACCCGAGGCTGCCTCGGGGCACACGGGAGGTAGTAAATTTCTGCGGTTATGGATCTGTCCCCCTTAGCTCTTCGAGTTTTGTCTCTCGGTGGTGGGCCACTGCTGTCATATACCAATAGTTTTCGCCAAAAGTATTTTATATATATACAAAGTGCATATTAGGCGCATTCAATGACAACAGCCGTGACTTTCCGGGAACCCGAGGAACTGCTATTGTGCCTCCCGATCCTTGTTTCCGAACCTTATACCTCGGCATTGTTATCTAATATACCAGCTGTTTAGCAACACGTTGCATCGATCCCTTTCGCTCGGAAATTTCGCGTTACGCAAACGCGCCGCTATATACCCGAGCTCGTATATATTATACGCATCACACCGTGAGCCAAGTAACAGCGGTCATTAGCATGTACCGGGGGATCCCTCGTGAAATATCGGGGAAAGGAGAAAAACGTGGTCTTCTCCTCGTCGAGGTATATGTGCACGTATGGATTTCGCCACGGATCGGCGAGCGATCGCCTAAAGTACGAGTGAGCTGCCGCGCGGACAAATGGGAGCTAATTATTAATCGGTGCAACCATCTGTATAGGATAGACGCTCGGTGGCGAAACTTTCGCTCTCCGATGCCTTACGTGTGATATACATATACGTGTGGTGAGGCCTTTGCACCGCGAGCGTGTAACCGATGGAAGGTCCCTCGGTGATCCCGTTGCGGTGTGTATATTTATGAGGGTTGCGTTAGTCACGCGGATACCCGCTTTGGATTTCGATGGTGATCCGTCATGGCCTTGCTCCCATACATGGGGTATACCTGTACATTTTCTTCACCTCGGCTGATGCTAAAGTTTACATTACACGGAGTTCAAAGGGACGAGAGCTTTTAATTTCCGATATAATAAAAGTTGGCTATCCCGTGTGTAGGTGCGTCCCGTTGTCTCTGAGCTCGTGGAATCTAATTTCTCGTGCTCTCGCCTCCGAGTTGGCGCTCCGTGTTTCCCCCTTGCCTTCTTCAGCTTTTTTTTTCACTCTCGCACACGTCTACCCACCCCATCGGGGGGTTCGCATATACACTCGAGTATCGATTACCCGGGGTGAGTGTATCGCCGAGCGAAGCCTTAGATGGCTCGATTTTCGCGTGCGAGTCCCCCTGAAGACGCTCCGACGATGACGATCACGATAATGATGATGATGATCGGAAGTAGGCAGGGACAGTTCTCGTGCTTCTCTTTGGAGGGGCTGGGTTTTTACGTGCTCAATGAGTGGTCGTTCGATTAACTCCAAGGAGCGCGTG